CGCCGCGCACGCGCGCCGTCCCCGCGCCGTCCTCCCGGCGTGCCCCGCGGGGGTTGCCTCTGCGTCGGGGTCGCTGCGACGCGTGAGGACGCTGGAGGCCTCGTCCACCTCCGGCCGCTCGAGCATGGAGGGCAGCCGGGGGGATCGCGCGGCCTCCGAAGTCCGGTGCAGCCGGGCCTCGGGGACGCGCAGCCCCGGGAGCTCTGCGGAGCGGCGCCCCCACCCCGACGCCTCGGCCCCGGCGGGCTGCAGGCCAGCTCTGGAGCCGGGGTTGCCTTGGTGCCGTCCCGGTCGGTGTCCACCCCGGCGACATCCGCGGCGAGGCACGGAGAGAGCAGAGCCTTGCCCGCTGAGCTCCCGCGGTGTCCCCCGGCCACGCGAGGGGAGGGGCGGCCCGTCTGCAGCCGTCGGCTCCGGCTCTGAGCTCCCGAGCCTGGGCCGCTGAGAGCCTCGTCGGCACGCGGCAGGCTTTGAAGGAAAGTGAGTCCTCAGAGAAGCCCTGCGGAGCAGGTGGATCCTGTTCGGCACCCAGCAGAGCCGCTTGGCTCCCCGTCCCCCTGTCACCCTCCCCAGCAGGGTGCCTGCTCCTCATTCGTGCCCGGAGCCTCTCCCAGCCCCCGTGGGCCTGGTCCTGCTGGCCCCTGCGCCCTCCGTTCCCACAGCCCAGCCGCGCCCGGTGCCCGTGCACCATGCTCCTCCAGGCGCTGCACAGCTAGCTGCGTCAGAGGCCAGGAGCTGTGTCTGCTCGGGCGACGGGGACTGTTGGTCCCCGTTTCCTTGCACTTGCTTCAGCCTCGTGAACTGGCTCTGGCCCTGTCCCAGCAGCCCATGAACAGGGCCAGGGATCTGCACATCCCCGAAGCTGCAGCCTAACATCTGTCTTCCTAGGCCAGGGGATTCACATGTTGCGTGCATACTCAGCTCCACATTAATAGACAGTATATTCGCTTTTTAAATGCTTTATCAATGCCAACATTGGAGGGCCCTCCGGCAAAGGAGCTGTTTATACATGCCCAGAACGCTCCAGAAAAACAGATGAAATAGCTGGACCGTGCTGTCCTTCACTGGGGACTCTGACAGTGACCCAGCTGATAACTTAGGATAACTGGAGACGTACAGGCTCCAGGAGACTTCAGCGCCTTCGTGAAGTGCCCAGGTAGTGGTCAGAACACGATGGGAGTAGGACTGGCACCCTAACCGAGCTTCTCCCTATTGGCTCTCCGTTCAGCCATGCGAAGGGGAAAAAGAAGACAGGAAGGGTGTGGAGGGACAGGGAGGCATCTGAGTGATGCACACACTCCTGCAGCTGGAGGGTGGGAGGGGTGGGGTGGAGTGGAGCCTTCAGCGCACCCTCAGGCTCAGCTTGGCTCTGGATGCACAACTCAGGCTCACCCGGGGGGAAAGTGTTGGAACCCCTGCTTTTTTTTTCTCTCACACCTTTGGATTTCTCTCTCTCATGCATTCCGCAATCTTCAGGGTTTATGGATGCAGCACAAACCCACCTTTGGTCATGTTTAATTGATGCTGTGTGCTGCCCTAGTCCATGGAGCTGAAGGCTGGGGTGGGGGTGGGACACTGTCTCCTCCCACACCACCTGCCACCCTGGGGTTGCAATTCAAGGAAAGCAGGTCTCATGCGAGTTTTCGTTCATTTGAAATTCTGTCCCAGGTGCAGATATGTATTGTCGGGCAGGCCAGCGGCTTTCTAGCAGGTACGGGGACTTCTAGACCCGTAGCATGAGCCCAAGTCTCTGGCCACTGGACCTGCGACCTGCCGATGCTTGTCTTTCTTGCAAGGAAATGGCTCCCACAGGATTTACTAGCCCACCCAAGAAAATGATTCCATCTTTGAAAAGTCTTTGATAACAGCAACCATGTTTATGAGCAGACCTCCAAGTGCTGGTTTGTAAGGTGGTATTTGAGGAACTGAACCTGTTGAATATGAGCATCAGCTTAGAGTCCTTCAGAGGCTAACTGTTCACCCCCAGAGGGAAGCTGCCACTCATCTTTAGGTCCTAGGGAAGCTTAGAACTCGTGTGCACACACGTATCCGCTGCTACACAGACTGGGTAACAGAGCCCAGGGCTTGTCACTGGTTCCTGGTTCCTGGTGGGGGAGGGGGAGGGGTGGAATCTAGAGAAAGAGGGGAGGCTGATACTGTCCAGGGCCAGAAGAGCCCAGGACACTTTCTCCTGGGGCCCGCTGTGCCTGTCCCCCCTCCCCCAAGGGCATTTCCTTACTTCATTTGTGGTAAGCCACAAGCCAAAAGGGCTCTTGGTATGATCCCAAGCTTTTCACCTTATTTTTTGGCTTCCAGGAACTGCTCACAGCCACCTCTGTGGATGGACACCTAGCAGTTTCTCTGAACACCTGGATCAGGATTCCCAGCAGCGGGGCTGAGGTCAGAGGGGAAGGAATAGAACAGCAGCTCTCCCTGAGTGTGATGTTTGACAGGGACAAGGAGCATGGTGATTCTCCAAATTACTATTTTACATTCATTTAAAATGATATTCAGGTTAGCCTTTTTTCTCTTTTAAATCAAATTTACTGATAAACAATTTATATAAAGTCCATTCTAAGTGTGCAGTTCTGTGAGTTTTGATAGATGTCTTTGCCCATGCAACCCCTGTTACAGCGAAGACGTAGAATATGTCCATTGCTTAAAAACAAAAACTCCTTGTCTCTTTGTGGTCAGTCTGTTTTCCACCGCTGTGGAACAGTCAAGTCTGTTCTAGAATTTTACATAAGTGGAATCATTCAGTTTTTTTGTGTCTGGCTTCTTCTACTTATCAGAGTGTTCCTCTTAATTGTTCCTTTTAATTGCCGAGTAGAATTCCTTGGTATGGATGTACCACAGTTTGATTAACCATTTAACTGTTGATGGACATTAGGGATGTTTCCATTTTTGGCTCCTATGAATTAGTCTGTTATGAGCTTTTGAGTACAAGTCTTTTATGGTCATATTTAAAATTTCTCTTGAGTAAATACCTGGAAGTAGAAATGATACGCATATATTTAACATCTTAGGAAACTACCAAATAATTTGCCAATGTAGTTGTATCATTTTACATTGCTGCCAGCAGCTTTTGAGAGTTCCAGTTGCTTTAAACCAGTGTTTGGTATTTTCTATCTTTTAAAATGTATTCCTTGTAGTGGGTGATATCCCACTGTGAAATGCCACTGTGGTTTTGATTTATATTTTTCTGATTCCTGATGATGTTGAGCATTTTTATGTGCTCATTGGTCATATATCATCTTTTATGAACTTTTTTTCCCCAAATCTTTTGCCTGTCTGGGTTGTATGAACTCATATCATTAAGTTGTGAGAGTTCATTATATATTCCAGGTAGGAGTACTTGTTAGATACATGTATTGTGAGTATTTTCTCCCATGTGTTGCTTGTCATTATGGTGTCTTTCAAGGAGCAAAAGTTAAACACTTTTGTGATATCCAGTTTATTCACATTTTAATGATGAATGCTTTTTGAATTCTCTTTCCATTCCATTGGGTTTTGCTTTGTGTGTTTTGAAGCTCTGTTATTAGGTGCATACGCATTTAGGATTGTTATGTCCTCTTGATGAATTGACCCATTTGTCATTATGAACAGTCCTTCTTTATCCCAGGTGATATTCTTTGTTTTGAAGTCTTCTTTGTCTCATGATAACATAACTACTTTAGCTTTCTTTTGATAGTATTTTCCTGGCACATTCTTTTTTCTCCTTTTAATTTTAACCCTCTGTGTTTTTGTATTTAAAATGGATTTCTTGTGGGCATCTTAGAGTTAGTTTTTCCTTGTTTATCCCAGTTGACAAGTTCTTCCATTTAATTGGGGTGTTACATCATTTAAATTTAATATTGTTATTAATATGATTTTTTTCATTTGACCTGTGAGTTCTTTGTTGTTTTTCCTTTTTTAATTCCTTCTCTTTAAAATTATTTTTGTGTTTTTGGGGGATTCAGATGTATTTTCTTTATTGGTTTCTCAGTTAGAGCTTTTTGTTTTAATTGTTTAGTGTTTTTTCTTCAGTTGTCAATTTGCAGCTTAAACTTAAGCCAATCCACCCTCAAATAATATTATATCCCTTCACGTAGATTGTAACAACTTTAAACAGTAAAGTTCAGTCTCTGTCCTTCTGTTTCTTGTTGTCATACATTTAACTCTTACATATGCGATCAGGTCCATGATACGTTATTTTTGCTTTAAACAGTCAGTTCTACTTTAAGTTATTTTAAAATGAGCAAAAATCTATTTTACGTTTATACATATATTTACCCATTCCTTCTCTCTTGATTCCTTTATATAAATCCTGGTTTCTAGCTGCTATTTATCCCTTTAGCCTCAATAACTTCCTTTAGCATTTCTTACTATGCAGATCTCCTGGTAGTGAATTCTATCAACTGTTGCTTACACGAAAATGTTTTTAATTTGCCTTCATTTTCTGAAAGATATTTTTCCTAATTATAGAACTCTGGGTGGATGAGCATTTTTTCTTCTGCCACATACAACATATTGCTCCGTTGTCTCCTGACTCTCACTGCTTGTGATGAGTCACAGTTGTTGCTGTCTTTGTTTCTCTGTGTGTCTTTCTTCCTCTGGTTGCTTTTAGAGTTTCTGAGTTGCCGGTTTTCAGCAGTTGCGTACGATGTGCTGTCGTGTGGTTTGCTGTGTTTGTCCCAGGGCTTGTTGCACTTACTCAA